CAATCACCTTCAAACAAACATGACATTTTATGTTATAAAAAAATTATTTCTTTTGATAAACTCTCTTTAGCGGCAGCGCGCGCATGCCGTAACAGCCGCGCGGAACCCTATTTCCAACGTCAAATTAAAATTATAAATAATGGAGATAGAGTTTCGGGAGTTGGAACTGTTTTATCGGAAATTTTCTCCTTTTTAACGAGCTTTTTTTAAAATTGCTCAAATATTAAAATTTTTTGAGTTATTAACGAAAAACTAAATTTTTTTTTATCTCATTTTGTCAATAACAATTGCAATATTTTACCTGCACCAAAATCCTTCAAAAACATTTTCCTGAAGGTGATTCCGAATCGAATGAGCTTTCGCTCATAGTTTAGGACCTTTATCTCTATTTTTCATGTTGTTGAACTTGTTGATTAGACTAAATGTTTCCCGAGCAATCTGATTACCATTATAGCTGGATGAATATACACTGGCAGGAGAAAAATATGAGATTACTTCAAGAACTTGATGTTGATTCCAAATTCTTCAAATTCACTTTCAAATATGTTGTATTTCTTTTTATAATTTTTCTAGTTACGAGTATATAAAACTATTTTATCTATTTTCATCTCACGAATGGATTGTTATTTCGCAGGTCGGGCCCTATCCACCGAAGCCTCGATGAATTTGGAAAAGGAAGGCAGCATTATCAACCAACCCTCACTCCCCCACCGCGGAGGGTTAAGTGATCAATAGGTCCGAGAATCATATGCCCTAAGCAAGCGTAGTGATCCAATCGTGCGGCAATCCAGCATCATCTTGAGATTCGGAAGGGCATCATTCCACCAAGGATCCCAATAATGGAAACAACCATCTTGACAGAGTGGTCTGGATGGAGTCTGTGGAGTTCGAAGAGAAAATCTTGATATTCTTTCCGTTTCTCCTCCTCTTGTTGGAGAATATTCATCTCGCCAGGAGCTGAGAACTCCACGCAAATATCGTCTTGCTCTGGTGGTCGAGAATAACTATATCAGGCTTATTAGCTTGCATGAGTCTGAGGATGGGAAAATAATAGTTCCAATAAATCAATGAATTATTATTATCATCATTTGATAATTCAATAATGATGTGCTGCACTGGCGAATGTACACGTCTATCAGCAGTAGAAACAGTTTCCTTCCCGTTGATCGAATACCCCAGTTAGGAGTGAGCAGTATCAATATCTTCAGGAGATGATTGGAACTCATCATCTCCTTATGAAGCTTACTTGGTTAGCAAAACGTGTGTCGTGGATAAAATGTTTTTGTTGAAATCGTTTCACGTCAGAGGTTTAAGTTCCACCTTGCAAGTCGGAGAATTACTTTAACAAAGCAGGGATCGAATCAGAACAACTACATATTCGATGGTAACGTGAGGCACAGAAAACAATGGGTATCATGAGGCTGTAGTATTTTTCAAAAACTTGGACCTTCTTCGTTATGCTACCTTCCGACTATTTTTTTCATGAAGGGACTTCATTCACCAACAAACAATTGAGCATATTTTAATTCTTATACCAGGTTATTACTTACCCACAACGGTGAGATATCCTACTTGACTCTTCATCGGATCGGTGTTGATCTGGCACATGTACCAACCTTGATCAGATTCACGCACCTCTCTAATATGGAGATGCCAGATGTTCTGTTCGCTGTGGGTAACACCAATGCGGTTATTTTTAGTGATGACGTGGTTGTGGATCGTCAGTATCGTTTGAGTGTCCACCTTCAACCAAGCTACCTGGAAACAAAAAAAAAAGAATTCATTTCATTCAGTCAATTAACTTTCTTCAGTGAACATGTTTTTCTACTAATTTGACAATATGTATATTCCCACTATGCTCGATAGAAACTAAAAAATAATTTTCAAAATAAATCCCACATGAACTGAATGGATTATTTATCTATTTATTTATTTTCAAGCAGGTAAAAACCTCATTACATGAAAATAATTATTCTTATGAAAATGTCAATACAGTCTAAATCATAAATAGAATCTAATATTTATACGTGAATACAATTATATAGTAGTACGAGTCTAGTATCTACGAGTAGTCACTAAATAAAGTCAAATGGAAGGAAAAATCATAGTTTTTCTAAACTTGGAAAGTATTTTTTACACCACTATAAACTTGTTTGGGAGGGAGAACAAAGTTGATATCTGACATGAACAGGAAGTTGTTTGTTATTTTGGTTATTGTAATGATAGGTGAACAGTTATTTGTTGATACATATGGTACATCAAAGAATTGAATGAGTCTTGTTGTTCTTTTGGGAATTCTCTCTTTCAGTAAAGATTTGAGATTGGGACAGTTATAATTTTTTTTATAATATATATTTTATAACACATTAACACTATACTTGCCTGTCTTCTATTTTCTAGACTGGGTATTTTAAATTCATTTCGTAGTGCTACTGTTTTGATTGTATTATAATTCGGGTATACTTTATATTTCTTGTAATATAAAAATCTCAGAAATCTGTTTTGAATTTTTTCTAATCTATTTTTATGAACAATATAGGAAGAATGCCGTACTACAGCCCCATATTCGAGTTTAGGTCTAACCAAACTATTATGAAGTGTAGTAATCACTTTAATATCATTGAAATGTGTACTTTGTCTCATTACAAATCCCATTATTCTTAGTGCCTGAGATGCTATGTAATCCAAATGGGGTTTGAACGAGAGTGTGAAGTTATAGTATATACCTAAATCTTTGACAGTCTCTACTCTGGATAATTCAATACCATAGTGTCTTATTTAGTTTTAGGGTACAAGACAGGACAGAACATTTGAATATATTGAACGGAAGATCATTTTTCACACTCCATCGATAAACACTATTGATGTCCTCTTGTAGTTTGACACAATCTTGTAAGTTTTCGATCTGTCTATAAAATTTAAGGTCATCTGCGAATAAGAGACACTCAGTATACTTTATATTTTGAGTTAGATCATTAATGAATATAAGAAAAATTAATGGACCCAAGTTTGATCCTTGAGGAACTCCAGAGTTTGCGTGAAATTTCCCTGTACAATTACCTTCATATTTGACTCTGAAGTGTCGATTATTCAAATACGATGCCAGCAATTTGAGTTCTTGGGTATCAGCCCCATTTTTATGTAACTTTTCCAGTATTACATCATGATTAACTTTATCGAATGCTTTTTGAAAATCTGTACAAATAACATCAACCTGTTTATTGTTATCTAGATGGTTGAGGACATGATGGGTGAATGTTAGTAGATTTGTTGACGTCAACTTTTTTGGAACAAATCCGTGCTGTTCATCACAAATGTTTTCGCCAAAACCCCTTAACACTTTTATATAGATGATCTGTTCAAACAGTTTCGCAACCGGACAAAGCACTCCTATTGGCCTATAGTTTTCAATATCAGAAACCCTGCCAGACTTATGGATAGGTGTCACTAATACTTCCTTTCATAAGTCTGGTAACGTATTTGATTTTATTGATGAATTATAGATATAAAGAAGAGGTTGATTTAGCCATACACATCCTTTAATAATATATGGTGGTATTTTATCACTTCCTGCAGATTTTTTTGACTTAAGTTTCTTTAAAGCTTCAAAGTAATCGCTGTCGGTTACTTCATCGATTGTGAGTGTGTGTGTTATATTTCTAAGCATAACCTGAAACTCCTGGATTTCATTCAGAAAAAAGTCATCCACCTGATTGGGAATGCGAACATCACTTGCAACATCGAAGAAAGGTTGTTTCTCTTCCACAGATATTTTCACGGAAAGTGTTCAAGTGTTGAGGTTCAACTCAGTATACCTCAAACTTCACTACTTAAGATATCTTCCATTTGGAGAACTGCGTGTATGTTCAATAAACTTCATGGGAATGTTTTTCCAAATGAATTTCAGGCTGGAAGTTCTCAAAAATTACAGAAAATATCACACAAATACTTTCACTTTCGAAAATATTGCATCTGCTTGGGATTTTTTCAAATAAAATTACTTTTTTCAAAATATTATAGTTTTTTTCAATAGAATGTTTTTAAATTATTCGACAATGAATTCCGTTTACATGTAATATCAACTGTTGAATATCTGTGAAATAAATAACTTGGTTATATTTCCTTCATATATCTCCTCTTACAAAAGTATTCATATTCGGGACTGCTGTTTTTCTAACGCTTGCTAACAAGTCAATAAAACTGAATAATTCATAACCTACAGAGAAACCATTGAAATAAAATATTGGGAGTGTATCTGACAATTCCATTTGACTGACAAATAATTCAGGCTTCCGAAGTAAACATTCACGAAATTGTCTGCAGAGTACGTTATAATTGAATCTGAATTGAGATCATATTAGTTGTAATATATCTAGATACGAATTGTTTGATCAGGATGATATATAGGCATGTATCATTACCTGAATGGGATGAGTTACGGAAATAATATTTAAAATAGGGGAGCTCAAGCGGTTGAGTACCTCCACCAAATATGAGCTCCATATATAAGGCCACCTGTGAGGGATAAATAATCAGATTAGTAAAAAAATCAATCATCAGAAATTCTCGAGCGCGTCAGATTAAGGTAGGGTGAGTTAATTACCTGCTGAACAGTGTATATTTCAGTAATCTGACAATTTGAGAGTGACGTAAAGAAAGGGGAGAGCAGTAAAGTTGTGAAAAATAACGTCATTTCGACATTCTCGAGCGTTGCTATTTTTTTTTTCATTTTGAAGGGAATGATTCAAGGATAACGACAAATATATAATCTGACGATCTCCGCAAGCCGAAATAACTAAAATTCGTCGATAAAGTTTAATGCGTGCAGCTGTGTGATACCTATATTTTCCTCTCCGAGTTTCTATTCCTCTATTTTCTATTCATTTTTTCTCCATCTATTACTCTCTCATTCCGTCCCCACTCTGAATTCTGTTGCCATGACGCCATCACAGCTGATCACAGAGACTCGTTCGTGATGAAGATGATGATTGATTATTCAATTAATTGATGGATGTAGCCGTTACTACGTTGTAGGAAATCATAATGAAGAAAAGAGAAATTAAATAACTATGTTTTTTACCATAGAAAGTTCCATTTCTCTTCTCTTCATCAATTGATTATAAAAAATTGAATTTTTTCAAAATTATTTTCTTATAAATACAAGTATTCTACTTAAAAAACATACACTTATTTATTTGCATGCTATTTCCTGAGCTTTTCAATTAATTAAGTTCAATAAATTGAAAAAACATCAAAAAAAATATTTTTGTCAGATTAAGCGAATCCCTCTAGATAATCGTCAGATTATGAGACATCACGTCTGAAACATAAAGATGAACCATATATATCTTAATCTGATGCGCTTGAGTATTTCAAAATGGCGATTTTTTTTTGCATATTATAATAATGGCCGCGAGGTAGCGTCAGATCGGAATCGTCAGATCATTGAATGAGAGCTTTTTTTTGTTGCACTTAACACCCCCTCAGAAAATCTGACGCGCTCGATTGAATTTTCATTTCTTTTCACTTTTAACCCTTACGTACAACCACCCACATCATGCAAACGATCAGAATAACAACATTATTGAAAATACGTAGGACATTGATGATATCAATATCTGACAGATTTTAAAGAGATTTTATCCTCTGACGCACTCGAGTATGTCCATGCAACAGTATTTTTTTACATATTTAAAAATCTATAGCTGCTTCCCCCACCGATGGAAAGGTATATATTATATAACATTTTTTTCTTCTTATCATCTAAGCTTTGCAACCTAATATGTCTCAATGACGCTCGAGTAAATCCTCATTTTGCATCGTGGGCTCCCCTGCTATTATCGTGTACCTATTCAATATACTTATTTATACCAATGTATCTCAAGCGAGTGCTTTTATGCTTTTGTTTTTGTTGCTGTACTCGAATACATGCATTTCCAACTATAATAATGATTATAAATTGTCTTTATTTATACTGCCGGAGTCTAGCTTATGTCACTGTTCAACTCAACCAGTATTATGTTCATTTTACTTTTTTTTTTAATCGAACAACATTTATTTTACAAAATAAACAGATCAAAAATAACATTTCAAAATACTATATCAAACGTGCGAACTCGTTTCCTTCTTTTCATAAAAGAGGACGTATGCCTCTCCACTCACAAGCGATTTGGGTGAAATTGATGACACGTGTGAATCAGTGTAATAATGTATTGAGCAAATTGACCATGTTCCGATTTTCTCAGAAGATGCAGTGAGATTTGAACAAGTTCTGGAGTCATCATTGTCTCACAAACTCGACAAATCTACTATAAATCTACCCAATTCAGTTTCAAGCAGGTCCAATGATGTGAAGAATCATTGCATCCGTGATTACTTGGAAGAAAACAGCAGTGGCGAACATATCATCAACAGCTACGACAAAATTAGACCAGCGATACATTCTACAGTCAAAACCTTCCGGCTTAATGGGTTGAAAAATATTGCTGACATCTATTTCATGAACAGTGTAATCCAATGTTTATCGAACACGAGATGAATACTGGAATACTTGAAAGAAGATGAATACATGAAAGATATCAATACTAGTATTTCTGGTATGGGGAGTGTTTCAATCCAGATTCAATGTCAGATTCAGAGATTTTCCCCTCGATTCATGGGTCATGCGCATCAAAACGCCCATGAATTACTTCCTTTAGTTTTACATGATGACGTTGATAGAATTAAAGACAAATTTTGTTGGTTGATGACATGCGACA